TGCCAGGCGCCGGAGCAGACTGCCGGATCGGACGCTGAAGTGAAAGCAAGTCGCTGAAGTCGATCGCCGTTGTCACCGTGCATCGCCGGTGAAGAAGCCTTACCGGAGATGCTGGCTGGACTGTTAAGGAGGATGGCCGGAGGAATCGCCGGAGCTGTCCGTTGCTGCCGGAGAAGGTGATCTGAAGGAGTCGCTGGTCGGAGCTGATGCCGATCGTCGCCTTCTTTGTCTGTTCGTCGGAGGAATCGGAGGAGAACCGCCGCCCAGTCATTGTTCGTCGTCGTCGGTCGATTTTGTAGTGGATAAAGTTTGGATTGCTGCTGGAATTTGGAGACGAACAGGGAAGAGTCCTATTTTGATTCTAAATTCACCAAAGGCGTTGTTTGTTTGTTTTCTATTTTGATTTCTAAACTTAATTTCAATTTCTTTTCAGTTGTATTAATTTGGGTTTATTCGATTCGAATTTGCTTCCGCTATTACTAATTGTTTCGTATTTTTGTATACGAGATTTGTTCGATAAATCCAAAGGATTCGGGAATAAATTCACAATAGCGGTATCAGAGCCCCGGGTGATCAACCGATTGCGAAATTGAAAGAATTAATTGATTTGAGTTTGGTAGGACTCGAATCATGGTAAAAGGCTAAACCCTCATCTCTTTAATTTCATTATATTATGATTCTTGGTGGAATTGTGGTTTGATAATATGCTGAAATTGTTTGTGTTGATTGGCTATGCTTACTTGGTGATTGATTGAATAATTTTGGAATTTGTCGGAATTTCTTGTAGTTCATGGTGAAAGTTTTTGGGAAATTGTTTTTGATTTCTTGGTTATTTCTAGTGTAGTTTCTTGGGCTATGTTTGTGTTAGTCTTGAGAAGTTGAGTTGCTTTAGCCGATCGTTAGATGCATGTTGATATTTCCGTGTGAGATAGAAAATGCATATTAGGTATTATTTGGAAAATGCCTAAAAAGGATTGTAAAGTGGAAGATAATTAAGAATAAAATGATTTTGTTGTATTATGTGTTTACTTGGTGTCTTGGTGAAATAATTGAAATGCTTGTATTAGATTCTTGATTTGTATGCTATGTTTAGTCTTTCTTCCAAAGGTTCCTTGTGAATATAATAAAATGTCAAGTGTGAAAATCAAATTTCATGTTTCTTGTGGGGAATTAGTTGAAGATATGCATGAGATATTAAAATTAGAACTAATTGTTGAAACTTAAGAATACTTTGATGCATGATGTTGTTTGATGTGTGATGAGTTGTATGTATTCCTTGATATCTTTGCGATTTGATTGTTTAATTGGTATTACGTGGATTAAGCTCCTGATGTGATCCTGTTATGTGGATTGTGATGTGATTCTATTATGTGGATTCTATTGGTGATGTGATCCTAAAGTGTTCTATACGTTAGATTGTAGCATTGATATTTGGTGATCATGCTTGTTACTTGGATTGCATATTTTTCTTTTTTGTGTGTGCTCTACTTGCTTTTGTTTGATTAAAGATGTTGTCTCCTTATTTGATTGTTTGTGGTCATTGTGCCTGTATATTTGCGCTTAGGCTATGAGTTCTTTGTGCTTAGGCTGTAGGACTTTGTGCTTAGACTGTAGGACTTAGCGCTTAGACTGTTGGATTTTGTGCTTGGGCTGTAGGACTTTATGCTTAGGTTGTAGGACTTCGCGTTTAGGCTGTAGGGCTTTGCGCTTAGGCTGTAGGACTTTATACTTAGGTTGTAGGACTCCGTGCTTAGGTTGTAGGGCCGTGTACTTAAGTTGTAGAGTAGTGTGTCTAAGCTATAAAGTAGTGTGTCTAAGTCCGTAAAGTAGTGTGTCTGAGGCATAGAGTAGTGTGTCTAAGTCGCAGAGTAGTGTATCTAAGTTGTGAAGTAGTGTGTCTGAGCTGTAGAGTAGTGTGTCTAAGTTGGAGAGTTGTGTGTTTGAGCTCTAGAGTTGTGTGTCTAAGACATAGAGTTATGTGACTATGCTGTTTGGTGTGCCTATCCGTTCTCTAGTTGATATTAAATAAGGTGGAGCTCATGTTATGTGATTCTAAGTTTTGTATTCAGCATGTTGTTGCGTTTCATTTGTGAATATGCATATATAGTGCTGGATTATGTAGTAGCTTGTTTGCTCGCTTAGAATCTGTTCATTATGTTGAATCTGTTGAAACTTGCTTGTATCTTGTTTTTGTAGTAGTTTATGTGTACTATGTGCTAGGTTGTTGAGTGATCAATCTAGGTTCATGTTAGGACTTGTGTGTTCTATGTACGATATATTTTTCTGTATAACATTTGTTCGTAGATGTAGCGAGGGATAAAAGCTATCATAAAATCCATTGGTGCTAGGTAAGTCTATATCTAGTAAATACGTATTTAGGATTTGGTTAAATTACAACAAAAATAGGTGGAGATTGTTGGAAATTTTGGCCATTAGGCCTAACCCGACAAGTCCCTCGATAAATAATTCGTTAGTTCACTCCGTAGCCCGACCCACCGGATCGATCCAAACCCTTTAATCCAAATCCATTTACCAAACCCACCTTACCCTAAAGACAATTAGTTAGGTTGGTTATAACTGTGTGGTTTTTAGTTAGTAAGTTGTGGGATTGTTATAGGGTAGTTTTGGGGGCAGCTTCTAGATATATAAATATAGAAGGTGTAATCGAGAGTGTGTGAGATTAAAGAAAGGATTAGAGATAGGAGGGTGAGACCGTGAAGGAGAGGGAGAAAAACCATAAGCGATTCCGGTGAGTTTCCGGTGAGGTTCGGGATCCTTTTCCTGTGCCTATTCCGGTGGGCGTCGAGGTTTAGAGTGACGTGCCGATCTCCACCTTGAGGCGTGGTTACCTCAGGCCACTTCGCACCATGGACTGAGTCGACAAGTAATGTTCCTTAACCTCCGGTGAAAGATTGATGGAAGGAGGAACTTGATCGGAAGTTTCGAAGTTGTCGGAAGGATATCGGAGAAGACGACTGGAGTTCTCCGTTGTTCGACGGACGCTCGCTGCCAGGCGCCGGAGCAGACTGCCGGATTGGATTCTGAAGTGAAAGCAAGTCGCTGAAGTCGATCGCCGTTGTCACCGTGCGTCGCCGGTGAAGAAGCCTTACCGGAGATGCTGGCTGGACGGTTAAGGAGGATGGCCGGAGGAATCGCCGGAGCTGTCCGTTGCAGCCGGAGAAGGTGATCTGAAGGAGTCGCTGGTCGGAGCTGATGCCGATCGTCGCCTTCTCTGTCTGTTCGTCGGAGGAATCGGAGGAGAACCGCCGCCCAGTCATTGTTCGTCGTCGTCGGTCGATTTTGTAGTGGATAAAGTTTGGATTGCTGCTGGAATTTGGAGACGAACAGGGAAGAGTCCTATTTTGATTCTAAATTCACCAAAGGCGATGTTTGTTTGTTTTCTATTTTAATTTCCAGTTTATGCCTTAATTTCAATTTGTTTTCTATTATATTAATTTGGGTTTATTCAATTCCAATTTGCTTCCCTAGTACTAATTGTTTAGTATTTTTGTATACGAGATTTGTTCGATAAATCCAAAAGATCCGGGAATAAATTCACAACAAATACAATATAAATCCCTGGTCAAAATGATCCATATTATATATATTTTATTAATTTATAATGCTAAAAATATTTAAAATACCAACAACACTAATCATATAAAAATATAAAATAATATCATAATTTATTATTGATAAATTATTAATCTACACTCCCTAAAATACGTATCTTTTTTAAGTAAAAGGATCATTTTGACTGGGACGGAGGGAGTATGGTTTTAAATAAAATACATCTATTCTACTAAAAACTATTTATTTTTTATTATAATAAAAATAATTATACTAATTCCGTGCTTACAAACAAAAATATCAAAAACATTCCTTCAAAAAAATTAATATACTAAATATACTCATTATTTTTATAATAGGCACACAATTTCCTATAACTCATACTCCCTTCTTCCTATATCTATCTATTTATTTATTTTTGGCATATCTATCTATTCATTTGTTTTTGTACATAATTTTAAAAATATTAATATTATATTAAGATACATTAAAAATAAAAAAACATTAATCTTATATCATACACATGTAAAGATATTTTTATAATATTAATATTATATTGTAATGTACAGGAAAAAATGAATACTTTGTAGTGAAATTTTCTTCCTTCACACTAAAACAAACAAATCCAAATATTTTTAATTTTTACATAAATTACAAAAATTATATTACACATAATTAATTTATACCTAAAATATAAAAAAAAACCAAAAATAGTAAGAACAATTTTACACTCCTAATAACTAATAAAATATTAATACTTTTTAATCTACGGTAAAAACACAAAATTACACAGTTGAGTATTTTAGAAGTTCATAACAATAACGTTCAATTTTTTCTTCTATTTTTAAATTTCTCAATACACAAAAATATCATATCAAAGGCTTACTTCACGAAATATCAAAATTGAGAATGGTAATAACGAATAACATATTTTTATAATAAATGATGAATTGGTTTGGATTCAAAAATTTTGTAATTGTAAATAGGCTAGGTAATGGAGAAAAAAGATTCTTTTTTTTTTTTTTTAAGAAAAAGGCGGAAGAAAAATCCATAAAAGATCTATAAATTATAAGTGCATACTATGAATCAATTAAAACTTTACACAAAAATTACCAAAATGTAGCATAATTTGTTGAATTACACAACAAATTGTTGGGGTGAAAAAATCTGCAAATGAAAGGTTCAACACAAGTTCTTGTTGGCAAAAAAGATGATACAAAATCACAATGATCCATCATCAATATGCAATGCCTATGGTTTACTGTGCAGTCCAGAAAAACAAAATGGCAGGCAACATATTCTAGTAGTAAGAGATCAATGAACCAAATTGAGGCTATAATTTCAAGTAACAAAACTTTTCGAATAAATTAGAATTCGGGCGGAGAAGCTTCGGGTTAAGATCTCTATACTAGCCAAGTCACTGCAATAGATAACAAAGTAATACTTCATTTAATGGCAGGTCCACATAGAACACCAATTTAATCAAATAAGCATTCACAAGAAACAACTTGTGCAATACAAATACATTCTCTAAAACAAGTGAACTACCATTTCGAATCTGGGTAATCTTCATTCATTCCACACCGGATAGATATAAAATCCGCATTCTTGCATTTAATTTTTCATGTGCATCCATTTCAAAAAGCCAACAGGTTATTGAAAAAATAAACTGAAGAACACATATGGGAATCATCACAAAGTTTCTTTCCCGCAACACAATTTCCAAATAGCACCATAGACAAAGAGCATGTTCACTTACTTTTTCACCATAGACCGATTCCCTAAATAGATTATCCAAAAAAACAACTAGAATTATAAGCACTAAACAAACACGCTCAAAGCATTCAATACAAGAACACATTCACCAGGTGTATGATACATATAAAAGCTTTAGTAGGGATTATAACCCCACAACACTCGACTAATTCCTAAATCTTATGCCTTTGTCGATATTTTCAAACCTATTCGGAAATATGCAATCTAATTAAAATATTTTATCCAACTAAACAACAACAATTTCAATGCCACCAATACTTGTTTTCTATCCAAAGCATTATCTCCAAATCCTATTATACATTTCATAGCAAAGCTATTAATACCTATCTTTGACTCAAAACATAAGATGGCATCCAAAAGCTACTTTCCATTCAATATTTTCACATCCAAAACACCCAAAACAAGAAAAACGCACAGTTGACCATTTCACAATCAGTACCCCAAAATACTATAAATGCATGGAAATCCAAAAACTGAACATAGAAAATTCATTGCTTTCCGAACATATCATGCTTAAGAACCAACTCACCAAGTTCAAAAACATTCTTAAAACATAAGTACATACAATAAAAACCCAAGATTTTTACCTCAAATGCTGCTCGGGTACATGAAAACCCTCACTCTATTGCCCTGTTTCAAGAAAACAAGGAAAAATCTCAAGCACATCAGATGCCAAATATTCCACACAAAGAAAATCTCTATACTGAAATTTCCTTACCATGGATTTAGGAGGGAGATTAGACTTGAACTTAGCACGAACGACGCCACTGTTTCCGTGAGGGCGTGTGACCTTTCCCCATATGCAGCGGTAGTGAGATCCATTCTTCTTAACCTTAGCCTTGTAAATGTACGCCATTCGTTTCCCTTGGTACCACGCCACTTCCTCCTGCGTATTCACTCCCTCTATCTGTATCAAGGACGTGTTCGGATACTGATTCGACTTCGACCTATTCAAAAAATTTTACACAATCCAATCACCAATTTTCTCCACACCAACCGAAAACATTATCACGACAAAAAGAAAAAATTCAATCCATCCGCCTACCTCTTGTATCCAAGGATTGTTCCACGGACATAGAGCCTGACGCGTTCTCCTTGCCGCCCCTTCACCATTGCTTCTGCTGCACGAGAACTTCGGCGACCTAATCTGTGTCGTTCCTGCGAGAAACACAGATCACTGCAAACCCTAATCGCTATAAAACAATATCAACGATTATGCCTGAAACCATAATTGGGATTTCAATGAGCTCAGTTAAAGCCCATACTTTTTTCGAATTCAGACTGGCCCATATATAAGCCCAATTATTAGAAACCAACCTATAGAAGGCGGGTACCAAATCCTTTTTTCCAAATTTCTTTTAGCTTGTTCCCCCAACATAATTTTTAAATAATATAAATAACACAAAATATTATATACAAAAATTTAAACGAAAAAAAAAATTAAATAATTATTATAAAAAAGTCAAAAATTTAATATTCAATCTAAAATAATATATTTTACCTCTCCATTCCCAAACAATAGAACATTTGAAATAGACACATAAGTTAAGGACTAATAGTATTCTATTAATAGTACGTGAAATGTGTTTCTAAAGCACCAAAATACTTTTATTTTATATAATTATTGTAAAAAAAATAAGAATAATTTTGCAAAAAAATGGAGAGTTAATTACCAAAAGTAGAAATAAATTATTGTTTTGAGACGAAAAAAATGACAAAATAAGAATATTGTTTTAGGACGAAAAGAGTATATTTTTGACATACGGACTCAATGTATTTAATTGCATTCGGGCATTCAAAAAAAAAAATTATTCCCGTTATTTTGTTCATTTTTTCTAAATAAAAAATTTAAAAAATATCTAATCTTAATTTTATTTATTGATATGTTATTCATAATTTTTGTAAAAAAATAAATTTTTTCATAAAAAGGTTAAATTTAAATATATAAATATTTTAAGAGTTATATTTTGTATTTATTTATTTTATTTTAGTTTCAACCGTGTAATATATAAAAAAATAATTGTATATATTATTATGAATTATAAAATAATATAATACAAAATTGAGTATGAATATAATTATTGTTTCAGTTTTTTTTATGAAAATATGGAAAGATATCTAAAATTATACCTAAATTTATTTATTTATTTATTTTATGGACATTGGCACCATTTCATTGATGGGAATAGAAGAAACACCGTTTGTTTGGTTTGGTTTAAAATTGAGTTTTTTATTTGAATTTTTACTTAAAATTATATGTTGATATAATAATTTTCTAGTAACAATAGTTTATTTTCATCAATATGCGAGTTGAATATTATTAATTTGTCTTTAAAAGACAAACTAAATACACTTATGATAGATTTTGAAATATTTATTCCACTTATATATTGTAGCATATTAGATTACTCTGCATTATTTAGATAAAGAGTAGGGGAAAAAAATTAAATATAAAAAATAGACCCATAAAATATTGTCTCAAATATTACATTTAAATATATTATTTTAAAATTTTATTTCTTATTTATTTTTTGATATAATTTTAAATGTGATAGTTTTATAAAATTTGTAAAGCAACGTAATTAAAAAAATAAATCGAAATTAAGATTGAATTTAATATCTATTTATTTTTAAATAAAAGAATAGATTAAATAATAGGAATAGAATTTAAAAAGAAAATAAAAAATCGAACAGTATATTTATGCTCTCTCTTATTTATTACTATACAGGTATAAACAATTTATTAGTTGAAACGGAAAAATAGAAAAATTAAAAATTAAAAATTTGAAGCGTAGAACGTGTGTTATATAAATGCTACAACTGTGCACGCCAATTTGAAAGCAATCATGGATGTCAATATATATATGTATAGCGACGATTAGAGTGCTGATTAATCAACGTTATGTTAATTTTGACCAAATAAGCAAATTAATTTGAAATAACTACCAAATAATCATAAGATATATATAGCATATTACTAAGGTTAGTACATTAATGTAAAATAATTAGAAATTTATTACAAGATAAATAATAAGATAAATAATGTGTTATGTTATATACAAATGTGTGTTGTGTGTACTATATTTCGTGTTGAAATCGGGATATATTGTGTTACATTCAATTATATAATATGTTATGCTATATATTGTATTAATATTTGTTGTGTGAGTTATATATTGTGTTGTGTTATATCATTTGCTTATTGTACTATGGTGCTAAGATCGGAACCTATTGTGCTCAAATCGTAATAATATTTTGCTATATATAATATGTAATTTGCTATTAAAATATTTACTACATATGCTATTAATATGTGCTAATTGCTGTATAAACATTTGTTAATTGAGTCAAAATATATCGTGCTAAAACTAGAATTATGTTTTTCTGAAATTATTATATAATCTGCTATTAAAGGTTTGCTATATATAATATTAACATGTGATACTTCTTTTATAATTATGTTAAATCAACAGCACACTGATTTGATAGCACGGTAACGAAATCGTTGCATCATACTACCACTTCGGTTACTGTGCAGATTGAGTCCCAATCAGCAAATGTTTATAAAAAATATAGCACATTTTAATATAATATAGCAAAACTTTTAACAGCAAACTATATAAGTATATGTAGCAAAATATAATTATGATTTCAGCACAATATTTTTGATCTAATAAGCAAATGTTTATATATATAAAAAAAATAACATATATTAGTATAATATATAACAAATATTTTAATAGAAAATCATAATAATAATTTCAGCTCAATATATTCTGATTTTAGTACCATACTATAATATATAAAAATATTATACAACACAACACAATATATAACCAACACAATAAATATTAATGCAATATATCATAGCACATTATATAATTGCATGTAGCACAATCTATGTTGATTTCAGCACGAAATATAACTCACGCAATACATATTTATATATAAGAACTGTTGATATGTGAAATTCAACAATAAAAAATAGAATTCAAAAATATATTTCAAACTTGAATAGAAAAATGTCCGAGATAACAGATCCATAAACACTGTACATAACAAAGCTAAGATTGAATAAAGACAACTGAAAATGTAAAATGATGATCCCCAATGAGTTTTTTTTTTTTTTCTGGAAATTGTTGTTGATTGAAGATGCCCCACATCATCTCGTTAGTCTCTGATATACACACCCATCCGATCTGCTTTGAATTGTCCCTCAGTCGGTTACTGAGATCGTGTATTGAACGGTCGTCGATTACAACCTTTGTTTCCTATGTTTTAATGTAGTCAGTTGTGACCGTTGACTACCAATCTAAAAGCCCCAGGCGATTCCTTCACAACCAACCGTCCAAGAAATTTCCAGCCGGACAGACTTTTAGATAATTAACCAACCAACCAAACTAGCAATCGTTTGACTTCAAAACCTCATTGGGCCCCAATCGTTCGGTTGCAACTCTATTCGGTAAAAAAATTTTCGGGCCTACCAATGGGCCCATCCCCTTCTCAATTTTGGGCCGAAACCCTATACCCTAGATTTTGAATTTTTTGCACTCAACAAATTGTCCCCTCCCACCTGACTTTCAATCGTCACACCTCAATCGCCGCAAGATGTGACGGTTAAAAGTTTGCAATTCAACGCAACAGTGTAATCATTATGCCGTTTCAAGTCAAACCACGGGGTTTATTAAAATCCTTCGTGCAAAAAAAAACCACTTGTTATTCTTCCTTACTCGCAAAGACATCACGTACTCAACTTCTTGGTCTTCTTCGCTATAAAAAATCTCTTTTGATTCTTCTCATTGCTCCCATGGCCAATCAATACATTCCTATTTTTCCTTTTGATGACTCCAACCCATAAACATCTTTTGTTTCTTCAAAGTTCTCAACCCCCACCATTCGCCCTTACTGTACCACGGCAGAAGACGCCTCCCGGATGCGGCAAATCATTGAACAAAGTACACACCTAGCCATTAAACACTTTTCATTCAACCTAGCTCGCATTATGGATAACATCAAAATCCACCTCACCGATTCAAAAGATGTCTTTCGCACATGGAAAAACAGACAGTTCCCTCACTTTCATAAGCAATGGAAATGCCAGGGGATTGACAAAGTCATTCTTCTCTCCACCTATGTTTTTCACCTTCATGAGAAGGTGTTGCTGGCCATGGCGGCCTTTTGGAACCAAAAGATCAGCGCTTTTCTCCTGTCTGATGGTTCCATAGGCCCAACATTGCTTGACGTCGCCATGATCGCCCACCTTCCAATCATTGGTGATGATCCAGTACTTGGCTCCCTTGACGGCCAAGAACCAGCAACCGACCATGCGGGTTGGGTACTGTCTGACATCACGGACAAAAGGTGGACGAATTTTGTCACCCAATTCAATGGTGAACGCGGCTCCCTTGTGACTGTCCTAGAACACGCCGTCTTCCTTCTCTTTTGGCTCTGTAGGTATGTATTCAATCTCATTTCAAATGTATTGTTCCTTCGCATGTAGACTTAGCCATCCATTTAGCCTTTGGTCGCTTCTTTTCAGTCGGAATTCTCTTTTTGGCCAATCTTTTTTAATGTCTTTCCATAGTTAGTGTCCATCTATCGGATACAAAAAAACTAGATACTGCCACCTCTGGCTCTTTTTTATTTTTAGAACTTTGGTTCCGTCTCTACTTTCTGACCGGTTTCTATGGTCGTCCACCAATTACTCCAAATGTTGACCGTTCCCTCGGTCTGATTTTAACCCAAATGTGTCTCAATATATCCGACCTGAAACTCACCGAACAAACTTTCCAAGAAACTTTCTCCAGCAGCAAAAGTAATTCTTATTTTTATGTCTATCAAAGCTACATACAATATGTCGTCGACCTTTTTCTGGCCATATCTTGATACCAACTATTCCATACCATATCAAAACCCATTACCTCATCCGACCTATCCCTTCTCGTGGGATGCAACCCTAAAGCCCAGATTTCCGTTTTCCACTAAGAGGCTTGATAAAATGGGTTATAAGTCATATTATACTTTTAATTATCAACCCCAGTATTTGGCACGCCAATTCGGTTGTTGCCAAGGTTTACCTACTTATCTCGTCCGTCCTTATCTCATCTCTTAGAGCCCCGAAGGGAATGTTATTCCTGTCCTCATCCAATCATATCTCACTCAACTTTCCACATATATTATTTCCAACTTTTATATCCCCTTCAAAATAGCAC